GGCAGCGCCGGCACGGCGCGGCAGCTCTGCACGACCCCGCAGGACAGATCGCTCCCTTCGGAAACGTCCATTTCTGCGCTCGCAAAGCGCGGGGCTCAGCGGCAGCCCCTCTGCACAGCCTCGCCACTGGGACCGCGGGGAGCCATCCAGCCGGAGATAAGACCCCAACCATGGAGGAACAAAGATTTCCGCAGAGCACACACCAGTCCTGCTGCACTCGGTCAAAAGGGATGACAAAAATGATGTCTCAAAGGGGAGAGAGATGTCAGGGCTTGGCCTTTCGCTTTCTGATAACAGTCATGTTAAAGAAAGCTCTCCAGAGCTTATGGGTTTTTTTCTTTTTTTCTTTCTAATCTGGGATTATAAGAAAGAAAAAGTTTCCCTGTTTGTGCCAGAGGAGCAAGACTGAGCTTTTTCAGTCTTTTTGTAGAGGAGGAGAGTTGTGGTTTTCACAAAGAGTTTTCTTCTCCCACCTGCTTGTGGGTTGTTTAGCTAAATAAACATTTCCATCGAAAGAGACAAGACATATGTTTTAAGGGAGATGAAGGAAAAATAAAAACCTTGGGCTGTTCACATTTTGTTCTCCTCTCCAGCAGTGCCCGGTCACAGCCGTCTGCCTGTCCTCTAGGAAAAACAAAACCTCCAGAAGACCTGGCTTTTTGTCAGGCAGGGCTGAGGCCCCCTCAGCCAGCCTGTGAAGGACTGTCCTGACCCTTCTGTCCCCATCGGAAGAACTCTTCTAATTAACCGGTTTGAGCCATTTTCCCCTTTTTTGCAATGCGAGAAGAGACAAAGAAAAGAGGCATCCTTTAACAAAACAACACTTGGCTTTTTACCATAGAAATATCAAGAAGTCTGCTCTTTTCCGTGAACCTTTTTAGATGTTCAAGGATGCACACTGGAGCGGAGAGCCAGGGGAGCACGATCTTTAGCAAAGGCATGCTTTCTCCAGAGCACGCAGCAGCCATTTGAATTCTACAGATTACAATCAAAACCAATGTCAATCAGTCTAATTTAAAAAAAAACAAAACCACAACAAAAACCAACACAAAACCCCTAAAAACACCTTTCCGTTTTTCAGCTCACTTCCTCCATTCTTTTGCTGCTTCTACAGTCAGGGCACACAAGACCTGCATTTCTAGTGTGAAAAACCCCCACAAACATGTGAGAGTTTTGGGCCTTTTTTACAGAGAATAAAGCATGGCTGGGGTCTGGCGCTCCTGCTCTCCCTCCATCTTCTGGCGAGAGCAGCTGGCCTCAAAGGCACGGTCACTGCTGGTGCTTGGTGGCCACCACAGCTTTGTGGTTGTTTCAGCCTGGTGGCGGCCACCATAATCCCTGTGGCCACCTCAAGACCAGCGGCCACCACAGCTCTGCAAAACCTCAGCCTGGCAGCGGCCACCTCTAGCCCTTAGCCACTGGTGTTTGGTGAGTACCACAGCTCGATGGTCACCTAAGCCTGGTGGTGGCCACCACAGCCTGGCAGTGACAACCTCAAGCTCCACAGCTGCTGACACCCAGTTGTCCCCACAGCCTAGCCAGTGACTATCATGGCTTTGCAGTCACCACAGCCTGGCAATGGCCACCTCAATCCTGGCAGCCACCTCTAGACCGCAGCCACCAATGCCCATGGCCACCACAACTCTG